CTTATATATTAATACAGAACGTGCTGAGCCTACGTGGGTGCTTCTGGTGCTTCGGAATCCTATGTGGCAAAATTACATGCTTCGTTATTAGGCTTGGGTAAATTTTAATTTAATTCTAAACCAAAAATAATTAGGTCTGGATTACCATAAATATGTTGATTATTTATGGTCATATTACATGTATTAATTGTAATTTAATATCATTCCTTATTATAACTATTGAATTGTATATATATTTTTAAAGTTAATAACTTTTGTATTTTTTATCAGTTTTACATATGTAATATATCAAATTAATCTTCTTTTGATGAGCTTCGATTTAACATCCATATTGTTTCTAGACTATATAGTAACACATATCATTCTAAACTATATAGTAATATATTTATGTTTTTCTTTTGTAAAAAAGTGAACTAAATTTAATATAATTTTCTCATTCATTTTAAAATTTAAGAATAATTTTTTAACAAGCACCCGTGTAATACACGGGTGTTGTACTAGTTATAATAATAATACAGCAAAAAAAAAAAAGAAAATGAATAAGAAATTAATTATTAATTAATTAATTACGCATAAAACTGTATCACATCATTATTACAATGACTTAGAGCATCTCCAATGTGACTTTTGACATTATAAAAATTCATCCATATCATCAACTTTTGAAAGTTTGTTACTAATTTGTTCTCCAATGCATCTTGTCATGAGCTCTTTCAAGATGAGGTGGATATCATTTAATGTTGACAATGTTGAACACACTTTCTAATATCTAACACCATGTTAAACATGGTGACTAATTAATTCACTTGATATTTTATTATTTTTTTATTTTTCTTGTATTAATGATTATTTAAAATTGGTCCACCTATACAAATAACTTCTTATCAAATTGATGCATTGGAGATCATAATTTGATTCAAATTTCTACTCTTTTAACATTATTCCTAGTTGGATTAACATTACAATCATTGATTGACATGTGTTAAAAGTTATAGTCTTTCAAAGGTGTAGCGTTGGAGATGCTCTTAAATTTGGAAATAAATCAAAACTTCCAATTTGGAAATCACACAACAGCCTATAAATAACCCCCAACTCTCGATCTTAATGCCCACGAAACCACAACACTTTCAATTTCATCTTCAACAAATTTCTCACGGCCATGGATCACACGACGATCGCCGCCGCCGTAACAAGCGCCGCCGCAAAGAAAACAAAGGGGCGGCGGAAGCTGGAGATGAAGAAAATCGGGAAGAAGCCCAATCTCCTGGTTACCTTCAGCAAGCGCCGCAAGGGCCTCTTCAGGAAGGCCGGCGAGCTCAGCGTCCTCTCCGGCTCCGAGATTGCGATCCTCGTGCATTCGCCGGCGGGAAAGATCTTCGCCTTCGGTACACCCACCGTCGACGCCGTCGTTTGCCGTCTTCAGGGAGTTCTCTGCCAGTACCAGCCGGCGTTCGAGCGGGCGGAGGCCATGAGGCTGAGGTACGAGGAGACCGTCAGGAAGCTGGAGGCGGAGAAGAGTGCCAAGGCGGAGGACGCCGGCGGGTCGTGGTGGGAGAGGGATTTTGAGTGCATGGATGTGGCGGAGCTTGAAGAGTACGCGGCGGCTTTGGAGAGCTTGAGGGACGGAGCTTTGAAGTCGGTGGAGGATCTCACTGGTGACGCCGCCCACGATTTTGGGGGTTTAGGATTTTTGGAGTGCATTTAGTGAAGATTCGTAAGCGTTTGGAAATATTGCACAAATCAAACTACGAGTTTTACTTTAACCATAGTTTCAAGCACAGTTGTTACAAAATTGACGAATTAAGCATTTGTTTTTAAATTTATTTTGAGGTGTAAAGTTGGATTTTCGTGATCGTTGGATGATATACATCAGATATATTTTTTCATTATTCTATATCATGTATCATACCATATAATTAAAAATATCATATGAGGGCATGGACTATAGCGAGGGTTGTGTACACTGTGATGCGGGCGGGTACGATCGCGGTGATGGCAGGAGCAAGGACGATCACGGTGACAACAATGACGACGACTGTAACTTGGTAAGTGAGGTGAGATCGTGGGAAATTATAAGAGGCATTAAAAATTGAATATTTTATATGTTTAAGAATGTCGTCTTTTATCTTCATCATCATCATCGATGTCTTGGAAATAATTATTTCTTTTAATAATTTTCACTATTTATCTCTTTAATAAGTATTAAAAAAAATAATTATTTATTTTACTCTCCAAGAATGACATGTGTCATTCTTTAATTAGCCTTCAAAATATATATATGACATTTTTAATTGGCCAACAATATATATTAATTAATTAATCAATTAATAAACTATTTAATTTAAAAATTAAAATTTGATTAATTTTTCAAATAAAATAAAATAAATTATTAAATTGACTATGACATAGAATTTGACAATTGTCGCCATTTTATTGGCTCAAAATTTTATTGTCTACACCTGCCTCAGAGGATGTTATAATTTTCGTGATTTTTGTACCATGCCTGATCAATTATTTCTTAATCTAAATTGTTTTATTGAAGTAACGCGACTTGTTCCTTGCCTTGGCTTCCACACTATCTGTCGGGGTCTGCTTCATGTGGCCGATATGTGAAGCATTTCTCTCGATCTTCTTCGCACTATCAGGGCATTACTTGCACTGGGTCGGATTATGCCTGTGCACAACCTCATGTCGTCACCCAAACTAGTACAATCAAGGATATAACTCAAATTGCTCAAGTTAATTTATTCAAACTGAAGATGAAACCATATTAGAAATTGCAAGCACATCAAATATCAATTCAAGTGATTATCATAGTTTGTCAATCTTCTTAACGAATGTATTTTCGACGCAACTAGTGACACCATTTTCTTATCTAACTAGTATAGTTTTCTTTTGTTTCTTTCCAAAATATAAATATATCATCCTCCACATTTTTTTTTTTCTTTTGCAACGTAGAGAAGCGGAGCTCCGCGCCATTCGTGAGTTTTAGATTTTCGTGTTTCTCTCATACAAAAGTATCGCAACAGAGCCCCACAGGTCGACACCTATTGCAGCCCATGACTCATTTTTTTTTTTTTTTTTTTT